CAAAGATATAGAACCTTAAGCCTTGAGAAGTTAGTTACTTTATTTTAAGGGAACCAAAATATGTCTTGCCTCAGAAATATTCCATTCATTGAAATTCCAAGCCTTAGTCTTCCATTTGGGTTCAAGCATTGAACACCCCTTTCAAATGGAGATCAGTTAAACATCCACACCTTAAAGAATTAAGAATCCCGGAAAGAATGGTGCATAGGCTAGGAGTCAGAAGACTTGGGGGTCTAGTCAGGCTTCACCGTTTACTTAGGTGAATCACTTAAACTTTCTGAACCTCCTTGTACTTTCACCCTTCTTAGAATCCTTCACCTGTAAAATTGAGATATTCACACCTGTGCTGTCTTACTTATAAGAATGTGAGGTGAAACAGGAGGAACATCTCCTAAAACATAGAGTGCTAAACACATCAGAGATTATGGAAGACTCTACAATTAAAATAACTCATTGCTGTTGATTCGATCCTGACTCATAGCAACCCTATAGGACAGAGGAGAACTGCCCCATAGGGTTTCCAAGGCTGTAATCTTTATGGAAGCAGACTGCCACATCTTTATCCTGCACTGCAGTTGGTGGGCTGAAACCGCTGACCTTTCAGTTAGCAGCTGAGCTCTTAACCACTGCACCACCAGTGCTCCTTTTAAAATTAAAATAGCACAAGGAAAAGTTTGCTGACCCGCAGGGGACTCCAGATCCAAATGAGATCTTTCCAGCAAAGATGGCCGAAGAGTGGGTAGGACAACATGTGAGAGGTGACACAAAAGGAAGAAAATTTTTTAAAAGGAAGTCTAGGAGGGCACGCTCTGCCAATGACTACTGGCTGCTTTGGTCCGGGGCTGGTTGAGGCTAGTTCACCTAAAGAGAGCACTCAGTGGACCTCCAGGGCTGGGGAGGCACTTGGTTCAGTTACCCCTCTTGCGTGAGTTAGAAATAGGCACCCTTCTCAAGACCTGTCAGAAAACAGTCCTGATATACTTAGTTAGAAAAAGAAATTTTCCTGACACATGCCCGAAAAAAACTGGTGGCAAATATGAAAATTGACAGTGTTATACAATATGAATGATGCCCTGTAGGGGCAGTGGGGGTTCAGTGGTAGAATTCTTGCCCTCCATGCACAAGACTCCAGTTCCTGGCCAATTCACCTCATGTGCAGCCTCCACCCATCTGTCAGCAGAGGCTTCTGTGTGCTGCAGTGCTGAACAGGTTTCAGCAGAGCTTCCAGACTAAGACAGACTAGGAAGAAAGGCCTGGTGGTCTACTTCCAAAAATCAGCCAGTGTAAACCCTATGCATCATAACAGTCCAGTCCACAACTGATCATGAGGATGGCACAGGACCAAGCAGAGTTTCTTTCCTTTGTGCATGGGGTCACTATGATTTGGGGGTTAACTCAGTCCCAGCTAAGAAAAACAGGGCTGTGTAGAGCACAGTAACATACAGAGGTTCTGTCCTGGATGACCCTCCCCATTGACCACTCCCCCTTCACTGACCACCACTTCAGGGTTATTTCCTTATGCCTATATTTAACATTAGAAAACAATGTTATTAACTTTTTAAGATAGAAGTTGGAGATTTTGGGCTTCTGTGTGTTAGGCTATACTCTAGGAAGCCCTGGATTAAGGGGGATCTTTGAAGATCATTGACTTTCAGGAAGAATTTTCCATAGACATTTTAGGCAGGCAGGAATTCAATGCTGCATGTATGTTATGTACATTGGTCTGTTAAAAACCAAGCAGACATTTATGTTTAGAGAATAAATAAGTTAGAGCTCTCCATTTCAGTGGGGCTCATTTTTCTTAAATTCAGCTTTCTCATCTATGGATTAGAAAACTGAATTTAAGAGGAGGAAAAAAAATCCCATTAAGTCAGGTCAAATCCAGTTTTCCTTTCTCACACAGACCCTGCCCATATCTATTTCTTGGGTGATTTCCACATTGTGAAATAATCACTAATAATAGCTACCTTTTAGTGGACTCTTAGTCTGGCACTCAACCGAGCAGTTTACGAGTATTATTGCATTTAATCCTTCCAACCACCTTATGAGATCAATATTATTATCTCATCTTTGCAGATGAGAAACCCAAGGCCGGAAGAAGTGAGGTAATTTTGCCCAAAGTAGAAAAGCAATAGGTTGAGGAATCAGGGCTCCAACCCACTCTCTCAGATTCCGTAGCACCTGCTCTTGGTAGCTTGTGTGTTTCGGTCTTTCTTGGAGCTAGGGAAAATAGTGATTAGGGTGGTGTAATTAGCCTTTTGGATTGCTTGCAAACCATGGAATACTGTATCTATGTTTTGAGGATTCAGCTTCGCACTAAAGGACATAACACTAAGGCCAACATCATGGGTGGCATTTATCTGCGGGATCAATTTGTCATTCAGCATCCTAAACATTGTGTGTCCTTAGAGCAGGGTAAATTCAGCACCATAACTGGTAAAGCAACTGAGCCAATAACGTTATTTCTGTATATGGGGGCCAAATAGTATTAATAAAATATGCACATTCTACTTTTTGAAAATTAGGAAATATTTCAGAGCTGGAACAATCCACACTATTTTGGCCACATAAGTGAATAAAATTTCTTCTACAAAGCCCAAGTTCAATACTTTATTTAAAGCCTTGACCCACTCACCTGTCATTCTTACTGTATCATTTGTGATACTCCCCTCTAGCGGCCAGAAGATTTATCTGCCTTACCTACCATACTTGAAAAGATTTCAACGCTTTTAAGAGTATTGAAACATTTCATTTTCTTTTTCTTTTTTTTTTTGGTCTGATATGATGGAAACTACTATCTTATCAAACTGTGAAAGTAAAATGTAACCGAACGCCTCTCAGTTTCTTGTCCTGTCCTATTAGCCAATTGAAATAAGAAGGACGCTAGTCGCAAGGCAAACGAAGTGGCAAGTTTATTATTTGCGCAGACAGAGAGTAACGCTGGGTCTAGGAACCAGAAGACGCGAGCTCTCTGAACTGGGGATTTGGGGATCTTTTATGGGGAGACTGGTTCCAGGTCTTACACCTCACCCCCTTAGCCCACCCTTTCTTGGAATTCCCTCCCCTGTCCAAGTTTGGGAGTCTGGTTGCCGAGTTATGTTGGGCCTGATGTACTGGTGGATAGACCTCTCACTCCAGAATGGGCTTCGGTGGTCTAGTAAACGTGCTCCGCTCTGGAAGATGGAGGTTCTGAGGTCAGGTTCTGCGCAGGCGTGGTTAGCTGGTTTGAGCTGGTTCTCAGGGTACCGCTTTCTGGCCTGGAAAATGTTACTAAGAAAATGTTGCCTATTATGCTGAGTGAATTTAGTCAGTCACAGAAGGGCAAATAATGTAGAAGACCACTATCATAAGAACTTAAGAAAAGGTTTAAACACAGAAGAAAACATTCTTTGATAGTTACAAGGGTGGGGAGGGAGGGAGAAGGGTATTCACTAACTAGATAGGGAAGGACAACACACACTACAGGGAAGTCAGCACAAAGGGACTAAACCAAAGCTAAGAAGTTTCCTTAATACAACCAAACACTTCAAGGGACAGAGTAGCAGGGGTGGAGGTCTGGGGAACATGCTTTCGGGGGACATCTAGTTCAATTGGCATAACAAAGTTTATTAAGAAAATGTTCTGCATCCCACTTTGGTGAGTGGCGTCTGGGGTCTTAAAAGCTAGCAAGCAGCCATCTAAGATGCATCAATTGGTCCCAACCCACCTGGAGTAAAGGAAAATGAAGAACACCAAAGTCACAAGGAAAGTATTAGCCCAAGAGACAGAAAGGAAGCCACATAAACCAGAGACTTTGTCAGCCTGAGACCAGAAGAACTAGATGGTGCCCAGCTAACACCAATGACCACCCTGAAAGGGAACAAAACAGAGAGTCCTTGATGGAGCAGGAGAGAAGTGAGGTACAGAACTAAAATTCTAGTAAAAAAAACCAGACTTAATGGTCTGACTGAGACTGGAGGAACCGCAGAAAGCATGGCCCCTGGACTCTCTGTCAACCCAGAACTAAAACTCTTCAGACAAAGATTAGACTGGACTATGGGACATAAAATGATACTCGTGAAGAGTGTGCATCTTAGCTCAAGTAGATACATGAGACTAAACGGGCAGCTTCTGTCCGGAGGTGAGATGAGAAGGCAGAGAGGGTCAAGAGCTAGTTGAATGGACATGGGAAATCCAGGGTGGAAAGGAGGAGTGTGCTGTCACAATATAGGGAGAGCAACAAGGGTCAAATAACAATGTATGTACAAATTTTTGTATGAGAGACTAACATGAATTGTAAACTTTCACTTAAAGCACAACAATAAAAGAAAATGTTGCCTAGAGCATATCAGCAGTTAGTCATGAAGAAAAGGGAGTTAATGGACCTTGCACAACAGCTCTATCTTATCTTGGGTTGCCTCTTAGGAGCCTTTAACTAGGGTTTCAAAATCAAGGGAAGGGTGTGAAGTATCAGTGTTAGCAATGGCCACTTCCCACCCATTGAGGCAAAAACAGATGAAGGACAGAGTGATTTTTATGATGATAAGAATTAAAGAAAACCCTGGAAGCTGCTAAGTCCCATGGACTTAACGACTTAAAGTGTGAGAACAAAAAACATTGACATCACAGATCCTTCCTGCAGTCACAATGCAGCTGGGCACTCTTGGGAAAATGCCCCAGAAACATGAAGACATTGGTCAGGATGCACTCAAGTTTCCCTAGTACTGTGACTTTCTGAGAGGAGGAAAAAAAAAAAAATCTCTGACCACCTTCAAAAAATCAAATCAACAAAAAATAAAGCTTGGAAACCGAGCACCATGAGTTCAGGTATTTGTTCATGGATCAGTTATGTCTCTAGCTTTCTATTTCACTACCTTACTTATATTTCTTAATACAAATAAAGAAAGTAATCTCAAAGGAGACACTCAGATGACTTGGGCACAATGGGTGAGAAATTATTAGCTATAATTTTAGAACTGCTTGATTTAAATGAGTGCACAAACCTCAACAAAGTGTCCAAAATGTCTTCTGGTAGTGTCTATAGTTCTAGCTTACTATGGGTATGATGGGGGCCAGGGGCAGAACTGGGGTAGTGGATGAGGGAAGAGGGAAGGTATCAAACAAATTGGAAACCTCCCTTTAACCTTAGCCGTACGTACAGAAACTGCCCTTACCACCACTACTAAAATTTACTTGCCATAGTTCCTGATCTGATATAGCATTCTGGTTGCCTAGATACAGATGTAAACAAAAGTGCCTCTCCGACTGCCAAGGAACTACCAGATGAACCTGATGGCCCTCTTCCTGGCTCAGCCAGTGACCAAGAAAAGAAAGCAAGTACTTTTAGATATTCATATTAAAAATAGAATATTTTGCTCAGCTTCCTTAAAGCTTAGCATTGCTTAGAGAGTTTTAAGGATAGTGGAAGAGTGGTGTTTCTTTTCATTCTTACCACGTTTCCTGTTCGTTGTGACTTGATAAAGTGACTGATGACCGCACAAGCTGAAAAGAAAAAGGGTCTCAAACTATAAACGCATTACTTGGACTGACTTTTAAGATGTGGGGCAGAGAAGATTAGCAAAAGCTTGATAATGATTTGCTTTCTATGAAGATTCAAAAAGAACCACGACAAACTCAAGGTGTAGACTTGATCTCTAACATGAAAAAAGGAATAGCTAAACAGAAATGTTTCTTTTATTAGTACTTGTCATATCTTCCCCAGTAATTAAAAAGAACATTGAAAGCAAGCACTGCTTTTAGACTTTGTTCTGTAATCCTCATAACACCTGACCAGAAGATGTGGCCTATTATTATGGAACGAGCAGCAGAAAGCTAGCTCAGCCTCAAACACTGATCTTTGGTATATATTGGCTGTACCATGAACTAGCTGTGTGACTTTGGACAATTACTTAAACTCTCTGTTTCCTCTTCTGTTAAATGGGGCTAATTAGACCTATCTTACAAAGATGTTGTGAATTTTAAATAAGTCACTTATGTAAAGGGCTTAGCAGGTAGGGAAAGTTCAATCAATAATAGTTGTGGTATTATTACCACCATTATCTATGCGATCTTAAGCAAGTTCGTTATGTCTTTGTTCCTCAAATTTCTCATCTATGAAGTAGTAAACTAAAATTCTTTCTGTAATAAGGAAGGATTTCAGTTACTTAAAGTAACTAATGTCATCCTTAAAGGAGATAACGATATCCATCTTACAGTGCTTTTGGAAGAATGAAATCACATCATATACAGGAAAGTATTTTATAGTCCATAAAGCCATAAATGACTGTGACATTTTTGAGTATTATTATGGAACAGGTGAAAACTGGCACAGTAAAAATCCCATAATAACAGATGGGTCCACCAATTCCATCAAGTTAACTGTGAGGCAATTTTGTTAGCATTATGTGTAGAAATGTGGATGAAACAGAACTGGTTTGTATATTCAATTAGCTATGATATAAAATTTTAAATACAGTACAGTCTTAGATACATGAAAAATTACATAGGAAAAAAGGAGAAATAGATACATTAACAACCTATAGGTAGTAGAATTTCGAGTGAGAAGTTTTTTTTTGTATCTTTTACTTTTTTTATTTTTATAAATTTTACTTCAGCATCAAACTTAACATTTGTCATTTTAAAAGTGTGTTGTAGGTGTGTTTTTAAGAGAATGATACTTATGATTTTCCAAATCAAACATAAACATTTAAAAAATTAAAAATAAAACAGGTATATATCCAGTTGTCCAGAAGGAGAAAGGGAGAAAATAGCCCAATAATTTAGTGTTCTTGGACATAATTTTCATCGAATTCATTCAAGAAATATTTACAGGTGACTGTTGTTGTTGTTAGTTGCTGTCAAGGAGATTCTGACTCATGGCAGGGACCAACCAGTTGCTAAGGAATACCAAAAGCCCACTCCCACAGGCCAGGGGGAACGGTAGATAGATAGGGAGGCATGAGCTGGCACGAAGCAGTTGAGAAGCCCAGGGTACAACACTATTCCAGCATGGACCTGCAGCAAAAACAGGAACCAGGGCAGAAAGCCAGGCAAATCCTAGGGAATTAAGTTAGTTTCCATGATGTCAGCACCTGTTGCTCAGTGGGTCAACTCATCAACCTTCTGAAGAGAAGATTGGGCTTAGACCCCACTCAGCAATGAGGAGAGAGGGCCTAAGGCACTATCATGATGGCTTACTGGCTGTATCCTGAGCAACCTCCAGCTTGTTCTGGTTGCCAGTCACCAAGTAGACTGGCTCAAGCGAGCCTGGCAGTGGCCAGGTCTTGTTTATTAGCATGTTTGATAATGGACTCATATTTTTTTCAAGTTTTATTGGCGGAAGAAGGTTTCCAATTAAGTTTCTTAGGTCCTAAATTAAGAAGTGGTGGTTCCTTGGACATTTGCAAAAGGAATGATTTCTGCACATGGGTGTTAGCATAGGCTGTCCAACATTATACTATACAATAACAAACCAAGCAAAAAATATCCTATGAATAGATTTTGTTCAAGTTTTTAACTGAAGTAGAATGCATTCACACTCTCCCTCTTGAATCTAGTTCATGACAGGCTATTAAAATTAGGATATAACCGTGTCCTGTTTTTAGGCTCAAAGAATAAAAGAATATTAAAGTTTAAGCATTTTCAGCATATGCAAAGAAGTATTTGGTATCCTCTTTCCTCACAGAAGTGCTGCAAAATTATGAACCTTCATACAAATAGAACTTTCTAGTAGTATCATTTTATTGGATTTGAGGTTGTCAGTTAAGTATCTGTATGTCCAGCTATGTGCAATACTAGTAAATTATGTAAATAGCTGTGTTCTGTGCTTTTATCTCTGACTCCATGGCAATGGGTTGTTTTGTTTTTGTTTTTATGGTAGTCTCATATCCAGTTTTCCTAGAAAACACAAATACTTGAATAAACTAGTTTTCTAGTTTTGGGCTTCGTTTTGGGAAATTAGCTGATTCTCCTTAGAAATCAGCATGTCAAGAATAATTCACTCGGTGAAGACTTCTTTAGTAACTCTTTCAATAACCATTGAATATTTCATTAAAAATAATCTAGGAATAATCTATGGCTTTGAATTTTCCAAAAAGTTTTTCCTGACTGTGATACCAAATCTATGAAATGCAGCTCTTCGGTATTTTCTCAGAACTTAATTTTGGTTTTAGTCATTAACATAAATAGGGCATGCACAAGATTAATTGGCTAGTGGCCTATAATCTATGATGAGCATTTTGTTTAAAATTAAAACATTTATATAAGGATAAGATGTCTAAGATTTCCTAGTAAAGTAGCAGATGATGTATTTTAAATCCATGACCTTTGTTTTAGGTAAGATTATCTCCAGCCAAAATGTCAACCAGGAATTCTACAAATCTAGTTGAATATATTGACAAGTAAGTCTAAATTACAATAAGTTTTAACTAATATTTACTATATATAATAATTTAGTCAGAGATTAGAGTACTTGAATGAGACCTTTGAGCTCATCTAGTTATTTGCATTCAGAAGGGACTTCACTTAAGCAATCTCAGAAAAATGAACCTCTCTATCCTATTCCTTTCTGGTTGGCAGAGCAAGCCGATTTCACTGCCTCCTTCTTAACTAACTTCCATAAGTTTCTGTAGATTTATGGATAATTGATACAACCTAGGCAATGAGCGACAAACAACAAGCTCAGATATGGTTAACTGTGACTTTCAAAATAAATAAATCTGTTGACCTTTCATGTTAAAAATTCACAAAGTTTTGAAGTATCTTAAATTAATCATCATAAAATTTTGGTTTACTATTTATACTGCCACATTTGGAGTTCATCCAGGAAAGGCCTATAGGAGAGGGACAACTCTGGGGACTTGGGAAATTCAATGACATGTTATTGATACATGCGCATTGTCCAAAAAAGCCTAGAATTCTAGTCTGTAAAGGCGGGGTCACAGAGGCAGTGCACATTAATTTGAGTATTTTTCAATTCCATATGTCAAAGTAAATTTGGTCTGATGCTTCCAGTAATATTTTCAAGGTACTTGGGGTTTAGTCTCAGCTCTTCCACTCATTTGCTGTGTGATTTCAGTCAGTCCCATAATGTGTCTGGGCCTTGGTCCTTTTATTTTCAAAATGAAGAGGTTGGACTAGAAGCTCTCTAGGGTCCCCTGTGGAGCCCTGGTGGCATAGTAGTTAAGAACTCGGCTGACAACCAAAATTAGGCAGTTCGAATCCACCAGCTGCTCCTTGGAAACTCTATGGGGCAGTTCTACTCTGTCTTGTAGGGTTGTTATGAGTCAGAATTGACTCAACGGCAATGGGTTTTGGTTTAGGGTCCCCTGTTGCTTTAGAATAATTCTCATTCTAAAATATACATCATGACCAAAGAAGAAAAATGACCAAACAGTTGAAATGAGTCAACGTAAAGAGAAAAATCTAAATCCTGAACTTTGAATTTTTTAATTACCTTGAATAATGAAATGATAAAAATTTTATATTCACTGATTTGCAACACTGTCACTATTAAGAACTTCCTTAATCTAGCTAGTCAACTGGATTTAATACATTCCAAATATTTCAACCACATTGTATGCACCTCTTTTCATGCTGTTCATAAGTTGTATTTGATTATATGACTACATGTCTATACTTTAGAGATAGTGGAACCAAATTAGGGGGAAGGTTTTTTTAATGTTTAAAAATATAATAGTTGGAAGGATGCGGAGTCAACATGACACTATAGACAGAAGCACCATGCCATCCCTCCACAGCAAAGAACCAAAAAACTAAGTAAAATAGAGACAAACATCAATCCTGGAACCCTAAGTGTCAACTGAAGAGATAAAGAACTCAACAAAGCACAAAATGAAATAAACTGACGGAGAACAGAGAGTGAGGAGAGATATAAGCTGAGGTCCCCTATCAGCTAATGCAGCATGGATTCGTCGTCTTGGGCTCCCGTTGGAGATCTGCAGACAGGTACTACAAGAAAGCAGCTTCATGGAGCTCCCAGCAGGAGACAGAGCACCCGGTAACCAGTGATACATGCTTTCCCACTCCCCACCCTTCTTCACCCTGCTAGGCTTCTGCCACTTCCCAGCAGGCCAAGGTCGCTTGGCTGGGAAGTGTCAGCTCCGTGCTATTTGGATTTGCCCCACTCACACTGGCTGGCTCCTTCAGTGCCATTTCTTTGTTGCTGGAGTTGCTTTTTTCGGCTTCTTTTGGTTTCTTCACTGCCTCTTACATCCTTCTCCTCCTTTCACTTGAACACCTGGCTCCATGTGACATCTTTGCTTCTTCTTGACAGGCTGTGAAGTGCTGCTTGTCTGGGGAACTGCTTCCCTGGTCCGAGCCACCATGCTGGTGGCATCCCTGGGGGCTTTTTTTGTTTGTTTGTTTTCTTTTTCTTTTTTCCTTTTTGTTTTTCTTCCTTTCTCGGTTTCTTGTCTCTCTCTACTTACCTTCTTTTCCTGTTTCCTGAATATCTGGTGCTGTGTGCCATCTCCACCCTTCTAGACGGGCTGTACTGCACAGCTTGGGAGCCACTTCTCCAGTCTGCGCACCTGGGCCAGTGGGATCCCTGGGAGCATTTCTTTTTTTATTTATTTTGTTTTCTCTTTTTCTTTTCTTCATTTCTCAGTTATTCATCTCTCTCTACTTTCCTTCTTTTCCTGTCTCCTGAATACCTGGCTCTGTATACCATCTCTTCCCCTTCAAGATGGGCTGTGCTCTGAGGCCTGGGAGCCACTTCCCCAGTCGCTAGTGGGATCTCTGGGGGCATTTCTTTCTTTTTTTTTAATTTTTATTTATTTTTTCTCTTCTTTTTTCCTTTTTCTTCATTTCTCAGTTGCTCGTCTCTCCATTCCAATGGCAGTCTCCCTCAGCACTTTTTTGTCTCTCTTCTCTTTCTTCTTTCCCATATCCAGTGTAGCTCCACACATCACAACCTCCCCCTGCTTATCTGCACCGAGCACTGAATATTGCACCCTCAAGAAGCACAGGTATGGCCTACAAGAACCTGCCCTGCACTGACTGCCAGCCTGCCCTGTTGGCCCCAGTACGTGCCACATACAACCCATCCCAGCCCCTCTCCTTCAGCTGGACCTGCCCTGCTTCACCATAGCTGAGTGACTGGCCCTGCCCATTGGACAAGGAGGTGAAAAGTATTGTGCCTACAGGCGAGCAAACAACAAAGAACGCACAGCCTGCCTGCTCAGACATGACCAAATAAAACAAAAAAGAAGGACAAAACAAACAAATCTACAATCAATAAATGAAGAAAATAACTACTGAATGTCCCAAAGACAGCAGACAATATCAAAACGTACCAAAAAAAAGAACAGGATGGTTCCAGTAAGCATCCAAAATAAAACACTAGATGACTTTCCAGTAGAAGAAAAGTCACTGGAACTGCCTGATAGAGAATTCAAATCTCTACTATTTGAGCAATCCAAAAGTTGAAGCAAAAAGTAGACAAAAATAAGGAAAAAAATAGACAAATTCATGGAAGACACAGACAAAACAATGGAAGAATTCAGGAAAATAATACAGGAACAAAATGTCAAAATAAATTCACAACTAGAAATCAAACAAAAACAACAATTAGAAATACAAAAGATAAACAACAAGAATTCAGAAATGGACAGTTTCATGGAGGGTCTGAGGAGCAGGTTTGAAACACTGGAAGACAGTATCAGTGAAACTGAAGACAAATAACTTCGATACCACTTTATTTGAGGAAAAATCGCAAAAAAGAACGAAGAAAAATGAAGAAACCTGAGAATGTTGTGGGATAGAGTCAAAAGGAAAAATTTGTGAGTGATCAAAGTTCCAGAAAAGGGACAGAAAAACAGAAAACACAGAGAGGATCATTGAAGAATTCCTGACAGAAAACTTCCTTAATATCATGACAGATGAAAAGCTGACCATCCAAGAAGCTCAATGAACTGCATATAGGATAGGCCCCAAAACAAAATCACCAAGGCATATCATAATCACATTAGCTGCAAACAAGGACAAAGAAAGAATCCTGAGAGCAGCTCGAGAAAAACAAAAAGTCACACACAGAGGGGAAAAAATAAGATTAAGCTCTGATTACTCTGCAGAAACCATGCAGGCAAGAAGGCAATGGGATGACATATATAAAACCTTGAAAGAAAAAAATTGCCAACCAAGAATATTATATCCTGCAAAACTCTCATTCAAATATGATAGTGAAATTAGGGCATTTCCAGATAAACAGAAATCAAGGGAACATGTAAAAACCAAACCAAACTTACAAGAATTATTAAAAAGGGAGTCCTTCGGTTTGAGAACAAACAACATCAGATGACAGCCTGAATCTAGGATGCAAGATCATGCCAGCCAGATACCAACCTAGGAAATGAACTCTCAAGGACTATTCAAAACCAAAAGGTTTACAACAGGGAACCAGAGAGGTTAACCTGTAAATGACAACAATGTCGGAACAATAAAAGAGGGAATAAACGGAGTAGGTATAGACCTTTCTAATGGAGAGGAAGGCAAGGTGATACCAGTAATAATATACTATTTCCAACCTAGGAAGATAAGGGTAAATTTCAAGGTAACCACAAAGAAAGTTAACAAATCTACTCATCAAAATAAAGTCTCAGTAAAAACAAAATCTACAAAAATGAAAAAAAAAAAAAAACGAAAGGAATTTAGCACAGGAGAGTAAGAGGAACAAAGAAAACGTTAGTACCACAATAAAAAAGCACTACAAAATGATAGCAATAAACTCACACCTATCAATAATTACACCAAATGTAAATGGCCTAAATGCACCCCTAAAGGGACAGACAGTGACACAATGGATTAAAAAAAAAAAAAAGAATCCATCAATATGCTGTCTACAAGAGACACACCTTAGAAACAAAGACGTAAATTTATTAAAAATCAAAGGATGTGAAAAAAACAAGCAAACAGCTACCAAAAAAGAGCAGGAGTGGCAATACTAATCTCCAGTAAAATGGACTTTAAAACAGAATCTACCAAAAAAGACAAAGAAGGGCACTAAATAATGATTAAAGGGACAATCCATCATGAAGACATAATGATAATAAATGTCTACGCACCAAATTACAGGGCTCCAAAATACATAAAACAAACTGTAACAGCACTGAAAAGTGAAATTGACAGTTCTTCAATAATAGTAGGAGACTTCAACATACCACTCTAGGTAAAGGACAGAACATCTAGAAGGAAACTCAGAAAAGATACAGAAGATTTAAAGGACACAATCAGCCAACTTCAACTCATAGACATATATAGAACACTCCACCCAACAGCTGCAAAGTACACATTCTTTTCCGACGTACGTGGAACATTCTCCAGAATAGACCAGATCTTAGGCCACAAAGCAACCTTCAACAAAATCCAAAACATTGAGAAA